TAGAGAGTTGTATCCGATAGTAGTTGCTGCTTTGCTATGGGGACATTTGTGGAGGAGAAAACGAATTCTATTTCATTGTGATAACTTGGCCGTGGTAGAAATAATCAAAAAACGTCGCTCATCAGACTTACCAATTTCAAATTTGATGAGAACCCTGTGTTATTGTGCTGCGAAAAACAATTTTGATATTTATAGTGAACATGTACCGGGTATAACAAATGTCATAGCTGATTCTTTATCCCGATTACAGGTTCAGCGTTTCAGACAAGTTTCCTTATTGTGCTTTTTGGTAACTTTGTTTGAAACAGGACTAAAGTGAAGGGTTAAATAAATACATGGCAGACGACGAGCTAGAACTTATTTCTTCAAATGCATTCAAAAACTATAATCATGTGACTTCTGTCCTCCAAAATATGAAGAAAGCGATTTTATATTATATGAAAAAAAAATAATTAATCAAAACAAACAAAGTAATTAATAGGAGAGAAGGGGGAGAAAGAAAAACAAACCAAAAGTTTATTTACAAGAGAAACTTTCTGATTTTACTGTAAGTTAAAGCAATGGAGGGATAATCTTATGACATATGATATTTTTTTTATATGTCCATGCTAGTTTGCAGAAATCCCTATGTACACAGTACATTTAAAGAGGAGAATTGATATTTAATTAAATCTAACATATTATTTTATTTTCAGGTAAAAATTCTCAAATTGGATTTACGACTGGAATTACTTCTTCTAACAGTGGCTTTACAGGAAGCAAAATCGTATTCCGAAAAGTCTTATACAACGAGGGACAATCGTATTATTCGACCACAGGGATTTTTACTTCCCATGTTGAAGGACACTTTGTATTCTTTACAACCTGCCATTCGAAAACCCAAAACCTCCAAACTAACATAATGTTAAACGGCGTCGCAAAAGTGAGATCAGAAGCATTTAATACGGGAGATGCAACATATCAGACCGGAGCAAACATGATACTGTTGAAACTTCAGCGGGGAGACAGAGTTTGGATTGCGAGAACAAGTGGAACCGGCTACTACACGGAATCTGTACCCATAATGACGTTCTCTGGATTTATGCTTTAGCATGCTTTGGTTTTAAAATTGAAATGAAAATGAATATACATTTCAATACTTGTAACTTTTTCATTTACTTAAAATTTTAATTACTAGTACATTGATCTTTACAGGTGTAATTAACAACTTTCATGCAATTTACTTGTATTCATTCAAATTAATTCCACATTTCAAAACTTTTATAGTGAATTAAATATTCATAGTGTGATATCAAATGAAATTTAGTTTTGTTTATAATAATGGAAGAAAATGTGTAGGGATAAACTTTAAAAGGAGAAAAAACGAGAAGGAAATGAATAAAGTTTTTATTAACAATTTTTTTTTTCAATACTAGTATATCAACGATGAAAAGAGAAAAGATGCAATTTCATATATACAGTTCATGTTCATAACAATTACACATCATTCAACTATATTACTAAAAAATGTGTTTGTGAAACGTTGACGACTCCTTTTTGGTTTTTCAATGCCAAAGTTTTTTTAAACCTAGATCAAACTTCAAAATTAAGGCAAAGTGTTCATACGTTAATAGTTGATTCCCAAAGAAAGGCCTTGTAACAAGAAATTTTAATAGCCCTAGTTCCAACCATTCAGAATATATATAGTCTGAAAAAAATTGGGATGGACGACCAGAGAGTTGCAGTGTCACCCACCCATTGAAAAAAGTGTATGCATGTATTTATTGTGCACAAAAAGTGCGCTGTTTCTTGATTCATATATCTCTGTATATTTAGCATGTCATCTCTAATTATTACACACCGCAATTTCTTATAACAAATTACTCTGAAAACTAAAATTTTTAACCCTTTGACCTCTACAGGCACATAGTATCGGGGGCGGGGGAGAGCCCTTCCTCCATTTTTTTCAGACATAACTTTTTATAGTAGAAAATATTCATTAAAATATTGGTTGCCCCTTTTTGATGCAGTATACAGTAGTCAAATAAGGGTAAGATAGTATGAGTAAAACATTTGAGCAGGGAGGGATCTTTATCGTGCCACACCTGCTGTGACACGGGGCCTCGGTTTATACGGTCTCATCCGAAGGACCGCCCCATTTATTCGCCTTTTACGACAAGCAAGGAGGTACTGAGTACCTATTCTAACCCGGATCCCCACAGGGCGAATAGGAAAGAGGGTCGTTGAATAATAATTTCAACATACTAGTATAGTAGAATATGGCATGTCAAACGTTGCAATATTCGATCTTTTCCGTTTGTATGATATGATTTTTATTTGCATTCTATAATTTTTCATTTGTATTGCATAATTCTTATTTGTATTATATAATTTTCCCATTTGAATTCAAAAGTATGAGTAAAACATTTGGAACTGAAGGCAGTTGGAACCCCCCCCCCCTAACACACACACCCTCTCCCCCGAAATAGGATTTTCAAGTTTTAGCAATTTTCCCTTTTTAATATATTTTTTGCTTGTCAGGTTTTTTCCCGGTTCGGTTGAATATCCCCTCCCCCACTTTCAAAAGCGATGGTACTTGCCTACTCTACCTTGTAGACTTAAACAAAATTTTAATCTTCGTCTTAACTTTAAAAAGTTAGTACTCGGGCTTTTATATTTTACATACATACTAGCAAATTCATTGACACTTGTGTAAGTTCTTTGTTTCGATAGCAACATTTTGATCTCCTGACCTTGAAGTTTGACTTTCATTTGAGAAACTTCAGCCTTCGTTCGAAGCTGCCACGCGGGGCATCAGTGTTTCACAAACAAGTATTGTTTTATTTAAAATTATACAGTCTGAATTCATAAAAAAAATATTATATATGGATGAAACATAATAAAATGAAGATAACGAACAACGTCCCAGATCAAAAATTCATAAAACAATAAAAAAAATTGGAGCAGGGCAAATACGGACCCCCAAAACATTAGAAGTGGGATCAGGTGCCATGGAGGAGTGAGCATCTCCTGCCGATCGGTCACGTCTGTGCGTGCTACTTGTCACGATCCGGAAACAACGGAAAATCCATCGTCAATTCAATGTATAAACAATGGACTCTTGTTTCATCAACTTGTTTGTCAATAATTTACCTCGTTTAAATAAAAATTGTTCATACAGAGCATGCTCTTGCGTATCGAATCAACTGAGATACATAAATTCCGCATGCAGGTGATGAAGGTATAATATCGCTGCATAAGTAAGGGAAGTTGACGATTAAAAAGTTAAAGTCATCACGTTTATCATAGAACTTGTAAGATTTACCATTAACGTCTTTTTCAAATAAAGTATTCATGTATGAAACAGATGTTTCAGACTATGTGGTATCTTTTATCTCAAGCTCACCAGGCTATATCGTGGAAATCACCATTGTTAATTGACATACGTCGTCGATATAATGTCTCTTGAACAAAAGCTATCATTCATTATGCAAAAGTATGTAAGGCAAATATAGTGTCAGATATTGAATTACAAGATGTATAATTAAACGGTAGTACATGTATTAGTACAAATGCGGCCTTCGTTTGGAGTCTTATCAAATTAACCGATCGACACAAAACTGAAACCAAAGGTTGTCTTTGGAAAGCATTACGTCACGCTTTTTGCTCAAAAGCTTGTATCTCGTATTTTTTTCTGTTAGATTATTTGTACTAAAAGAACTTTGATTTCACTAAAAGGTAATAGTTAAATTGTATTTTACTAGAATAGTTGTTCCCTCTCCAGAATATTTCACTGATATGGAGACGTCACCATTGCCGGTGAAGGGCTGCAAATTTAGGCCTATGCTCGGCACTTAAGGCCTTTGAGCAGGGAGGGATCTTTATCGTGCCACACCTGCTGTGACACGGGGCCTCGGTTTATACGGTCTCATCCGAAGGACCGCCCCATTCAGTCGCCTTTTACGACAAGCAAGGTGATACTGAGGAACTATTCTAACCCGGATCCCCACAGGGCGAATAGGAAAGAGGGTCGTTGAATAATAATTTCAACATACTAGTATAGTAAAATATGGCATGTCAAACGTTGCAATATTCGATCTTTTCCGTTTGTATGATATGATTTTTATTTGCATTCTATAATTTTTCATTTGTATTGCATAATTCTTATTTGTATTATATAATTTTCCCATTTGAATTCAAAAGTAAACTGGTCGATTAAAACCTGTAGGGAAACCAACAAAAATGGATCCTGCGAGCAACATTAAGTCTAAAATTGCCAGATTTTACTGAAGGATACAGGTATGGCTAAGTCACAAAACATTTCAACACAACACTTTTATTAGAATTCTAACAAAGAAAACTAGAGGTACTTTGAGCACTGAGCTCACTAGTAAGTAAGTTAATTTTATTTAAGGTCGGCACTTTATACATTGCAAAACAAGAAACATGAGCTCTGTAGAGCTCTTAAACCGACTATCTGAAACCCACTTAAACCCACTAAATGGTCCCCACACCTTGCTACCATTATAATGGCAAAGTCCATGTTTTCTGTTCTGGGAGATAAAGAATAAGTGTCTGATCAAAAAATAAAATAGGTGATCACAATGGTTTTACGTAAAATGAATCTGTGAAAGTACCATTATATATAATGGTAAAGGAGGAGTTGCAAATAAGGTATGGCTATCCTAAAATATTATAGACAAAATGGCAATGTCCATATTTTGCTGTAGGAAACCCAAAATTTGTGTCCGATCAAAAAGTAAAATAGAAGGTGCACAATGACACTATGTAACCAAGATTCTGTGAAAGTTTCATTAAAATTCATTCAGTGTTGCCCCAAAGCTTAATGGAGGTACACAAACGGACATCTCGATCACTATAAGTATACCCTTCCACTTTTTTAGCAGGGGATATAATGAATGAAATAATATTTCTACCAGAAAATTTGTTTTTTATACCCTCCGCTTTTAAAGTGGGAGGGTATATAGTGATCGGGATGCCCGTCCGTCCGTCTGTTACGCTTTTGGAGTACCCATCTTTTATCCACAACTGCTCATATACCACTGGTGAAATTTAATAAAAATTTCAGGTCTACCAGAGCAAAACATGGAATTCGCTATTATAATCAATTAGGAGTCGGGGGTATCATTTAGTGAGAAAAAAAATAAGAATACGTAATACATTTTTTTTTAATTTTTAGATTACCTTTCGCATTATTTATTGAACGACCCTCGTACAGCATCAGAATGATCGTTTCCATAAGTTTCAAGACGAAGTATTTTTGCACAATATTTTGTAGACATTAAACCTTTTGTTATGACAGTTCAAAGACTATAAAAACGAGTATGAACGATTTTTTTATCCAATCATTAAATAAGTACATGTAGTACATAATCTATGAGTTCAGGACTATCCAGTTTTCACGGAATACCCTCTATTTCATCGCAGGTAATTCTCTTAGCAGTATGATAATAAACAACTGAAAAGAAAAAAATATGTATATTTAATTGCATGCATTTTTCACCCCCTCCCCTCATTCTATATTTATTAAGCCCTTGAAGTCATTGAGCAAATCTAAAACTGAGCGATTACAAGTTACAAGTATCTCTGTTAAAACATAAAAAGTATCCTCGTTCGCAAGTATGAAAAGGTAAAAGTGATAATAAACCTTCCAACCAAAATTACCCTAGTTTTATTTTCAAATACCATTTTTACATTTCATAATTCATTACGTTATTTTTATATCAATGAAAACGTCTCACCTGATCCATGCATTGGTTCTACAGTTATGTTAGTTTTCGGAAAACATTCAGCACACCAACCAATCAAATGGCAAGTCACTCTAGTAGAATCTGGAGACCGACTTAATTCCAGCACTTCTTCGTCATTTGCAAGAATTCCCCATGTAGTCTTTTGAAGAAAAATATGTCATATTTTAAAATGAAAGATCAGAGCATATAACAAAAAAATTATATGCTTATAATTATTTTTCAGCTAACTTGTTAGCAATGTCAAATTCCATTAGAGAGAGATATCAGCATTTTGTTAAGGTCACTCTGACTGAAGGATTGGTTACACAAACTATTGATATTCATAAATAATTGAAAAATAAATTGTCCACCCATTTGATAGGAAAAAAAGAGAGAATTACCGATTTTGAAATAGCTACCCCAGTTCCTTGCAGATCTATCTGAAATCTTGCAAAAAGCTGGCATGGTTGATTGTTTGCATAATACCAGGTCTTGGTAGCGGTGCAATCGTAAGTCGTCCCAAACGGCACGTTCTCTACCGCACTGACACCAGTGGTATTAGCAAATGTGAAGTCGTCCTGCTTAATGCTCAATGACTGCATGGAAATTTTAAATTCACTGGTATATACATCATCAAAAAGCTGTGTCAAATATTAATTATCATATCATAATATCTTTGGTCTTTGATATCAAGATTCAAAAGAGGAAGCTATTTTATGGAGAAGTAAGTTACACTTTAAACTGTCTTAATGAATTGTGCTATAAAATTTCTTTAAAAAGAAATCGCAGCCAAATGGAATGAGAGAATCAGGGAAAATAAAACATTTCCAATCGTATAGATATTATAAATGTTTAAATTTAAAATTGACTTTAGTTGCTAAGAAAAAATGTCAGGCTCTTTTATCAGGAAGAAGTCTTTTTACCATATGAAATTTTATTTTGGGATGGGGGGTCAAGGTCCATAAATGGGCGACCAGCATGTCAATGAATATTTCTAGTCTAATTAATTTGATTGAATTCATTAATTTTAAATATAAATTTGTTTCGTTTTTTTTACATAAATGATTAGCTATTCTAGATTCAATCTATTTGCCTTTTTTGTGGGATCACGAATATTAATCATCATTAAAAACCCAGTATGATTATAAATATGGGAATGATTTTGAAAATAATAAAAAAAATATAATCACAGTAAAGACAATTTTACGTGTATCCCCGTCACATTTAACACAATATAAGTAAAACCCTTTACCTTAATATCTATTTTTATCTTAGAAAAGACCGTCCTCATCAAAGGATTGGAATTCCTGCTACACATTTGATCCGCCTCTCTCCAGTGAGTACTATCATGCCTTATAAAGTAGTTCTCTTTGGGCAGTGTGACATACTCAGTCGCAGTGTCCGGTGACGTCATATTATGACAGTAAATCTTTAAGGGTGTCTGCCTGTCAAACCTTTCTGGGAATAACCAATACTCGCCGTCGTTAGAGGAAGGGGAGCATTTCTTAATCTCAAAACAACTGGCAGGATCTGTGTACGACAAATATTAATCATTTACTGACAATATATGTACTTAACCACTTGGAAACAGATATTTTTATGCAAAGAAAAGAATTTCTACATGTATGTGTGCTTTGTAGATTTTTCAAAAGCATTTGAAACTGTTTGGAAATCTGCAATTTTATACAAATTGAATAAAAATGGTATTGGTGATAACTCTTTGAAAGTTGATTTGATCCCATGATCATTCTACCGGAATGTAAATTTCTCCAAGCGGTTAGATCACGAGCTGAGAAGGCTTAAAATATGTATGTAAATCTCGTGCGTCTGCCTTTGTGTCTGCCGCTAAGGAGGTTTAATATGCATGCAAATCTCATGCGGATGTCTTTGTGTTTGACGTCAGTGGGTTGGGACTATTGAAATTGACAGGGGGGGGGGGGGGGGCTCGTGTGATTTAAATCTTAGTCTACATTTTTGAAATCTAAATTAACAATTTATTTCACAAAAAAGTGAAATACTAGTATAAGGAATCACTAAATAGTTAATAGAGTATGCTAGGGACATCAACGATAGTCGTTAGAGAGGACTTATATAGGCCTGATGTCTAATCCAGTTATGTAACCTGACTTTGCATAAAATTAATAATCTAATAAATTGAATAAAACATCAACGATAGTTGGAAACGTGTGATATTTTATGCATAACGGGCTTCACCCTTTATATATGCAAATTACCCCACGTTTCCAACTATCGATGATGCCCTGGCGTATTCTACTAACTAGACAGTGCTTCCTTAAATACATACTATTTTTGTAAAAAGAACAAATATATGAGTGAAATATTCAAAGCCAATAGACGGATCAAACAAGGTGATAATTTAAGTCCAAAACTCTTCAATATCTTTTCTGATGATTTTGTGAATTATTTTTAGAATGTAGGTACTTCATACTAGATACTATGTCAATTAATCATATTTTTTTGGCTGAAGATTTCGTCCTTGTATCAGAATCAGAATTTGATCTACAAAACTGAATAGATGTTTTAGTTATTCAGATGAAAAATTGTGTGTTAATATGAAAAAAAACCCCGAGATGTTATGATAATTTTTTCCAAGAAAATTGGTTGATGAGACGTCATTTAGATTTTATTACAATCTTTAAATGAATTGTTTTAATTGCAAATATTTACATTCCCAGTCTTTGTCAGAAATAAAATTAGAACTAGTCAACATACTTTAACTGGTTTAGGTTTATCGATAGGCTTGTTTTAAAAAAATCACGTGAGGGGCAGGACATCCATCCCCGTTACATCTGGGGTCCCTCAGGGCTCTGTCCTTGGTCCCATCCTTTTCCTCGCTTACATAAACGACTTGCCGGAGCATGTGAAGTCCCAGGTTAGACTTTTTGTAGATGATACTGTCATCTATATTACTATGGATGGACAGGGATGTCAGTCAATGCTCCAAGAGGACCTTAGGCAACTAGAGAACTGGGAGACCTTGTGGGACATGGAATTTAATCCAAGTAAGTGCCAGGTTATCCATGTAACGACATCCAGATACCCCATTTGTAATAACTATATACTTCATGGTCAGGTATTAGGGACTACATCATCAGCCCGGTATCTGGGTGTCGATATATCGAATAACTTGAACTGGAGCCAGCACATAAGTCGGGTCACAAACAAAGCCAACAGCCCCCTCGGCTTCCTACGCAGAAATATACCGACCAGGAACCAGCAGCTCCGGTCAGCAGCATACAAAGCAGTGGTACGTCCACAGCTTGAGTATGCTGCCAGCGTTTGGGACCCTCACTTGGTTACACTTATTAACCAAGTTGAGGCTGTTCAGCGCAGAGCTGCAAGGTGGGTGATGTCGGATTTTAGAAGAACATCAAGTGTCACAGATATGCTACAAGCCCTATGTTGGCGAAGCTTGCAACAAAGGAGGGCAGATGCAAGGCTTGTACTTATGTACAAGATCGTGCATGGACTAGTAGCCATCCCCTCAGTTCAATTCATCCCCCCAAGTAGGACTACCCGATCATCTCATTCCCTCACCTTTCGTCAAATACAAACTACAAAAAATGTGTATAAATATTCCTTTTTCCCTCTTACTATAGTTCAGTGGAACAGACTGCCGGGCAGTGTTGTCTCGCTTCCAGATGTTGAACATTTCAAACTGGAAGTGAGCAAACTGAATCACCCCAGACCTTAATCATATTATAGTGTTTTTACATCTTTTAATTGTGAATACTGTTTTTCTTAACTTTTTATCTTCACTAAAAATTTAATACTGTTCCCTTTTCACCACTTTGAAATTTACTTTTCTATACTTTTTTTTTACATCTTTTAATTAGCTGCGCACCCTACTCAGAGTACTCAAAACTTGAGGGCGAGTAGTATCGAGAGATAGATAGATAGAAATAGAGACAAAAGTGGGCCTGGCTTGTAGCACGTGAATTTGCTGAATCAAGAATGTAAATATGTAGGACTCTAAAGTGCGATGGGACTCCAAAGTCCGATGGTCACGCCAAAGTCCGATTGTCTGCGCCAAATCCCGATGGTCTGACACGCCAAAATCCGACGGTTCGGAAAATAATTAACGTTTATGACGTCATAGTAGCACTGCGCCCAAACCTCAATGCCGCGACATGCAAAGGTCTTTAGAATAAGTATAGATAAATGCGAAAACTAACCCTTATCTCTCAGGCAGGTGCGAGACTAACACTCGAAAAGTGTGTATTAGCAATATCTTAAATATCTTGAGTTAGGGCAAGACTAACCCTAATCACTCGACTTGTGTGCGAGGACTAACCCTAATTCACTCGGGTTGTGCAATGCAAGGACTAACCCTAATCAATCGAGTGGTGTGCGAGGACAGACCCTAATATCTCCGGAATGTGCAAGCAAAAAGCAAAATCAATAATAAAAATTTTATTAGAGGACGAATTCAGAAATGATTGCTTTTGAATGCAGGACAACGGCGTCAAGGATTGACGTCGGATTATTGTGACGTCATAAACGTTGATTGTTCATCCGCACCATCGGACTTTGGCGTGTCAGACCATCGCACTTTAGCGTCGCGCGTCTCATAGGAAACGAGCCATCGGACTTTGGCGTGACCATCGGACTTTGGCGCCCGTAAAAACAATGAGCCATCGGGGTTTGGCGCAGACCATCGGGGTTTGGCGAGACCATCGGACTTTGGCGTCACCATCGGACCTTGGAGTCTTACAAATATAAGGAGTAACTGTCAGATTTTTTTAGTTTCATGACGATGGTCAATCGAATGGCTTGCGTGATAATTTTATGCCTAAACCGTAAACGTCTTCGACGTTTATTTATGCGAATTACCAGTCAAGCCAATCGATTGATCCATCATAAAACCAAAAAGTTAGAGTTATTCCTTACTTGGTTCAATGATTGAATAAGACAGTGACATACCTGTATACAAAGTGAGGAATCTTTTAAATAGTTTTGCCATCTTGTTTAACAGTGATGATAAATTTATCCTAATTGGCTTGGCAAAATATTTGTTAAATTGTAATGCCTTTATTGTCTACCGCTTTCGCAATAGCGAGGGGACATTAAATCTCATTCGTCTGTCAGTCTGTCCGTCCGTCACAAAAACTTTAACCTTGTGCATATCTTTTGAATGAGAAGAGATATGACTTTGATTTTATACATGTGTATTTCCTGTGAAACCTTTCTAAATACACTATGATTTTTGACCTCATGACCTTAACCTTGAAGCTTGACCTACTTTTAAAAGATTTAAACATTACTTTTAAATGGCCATAACTTTTGAATGAGAAACGATAGGGCTTTCATATTAAACATATGTATTTATGTGACAAGACCTTTCTAACTACATTATAATTTTTGATCTCGTGACCTTCAATTTGAAGTTTGACCTACTTTTCAAAAATGTTAATTTTTCTTTTAACTTCTGATTGAGAAGAGATGGGGCTTTCGTATTTGAATTTTGCATTATCTTTGACTTGATATTTCCGAGCATGCTGTGATTTCTTATCCCTTGACCTTGACTTTCACGACTGACCTAATTTTCCAAAAATTTAACTTTTGATATACTAGTAACATCTGAATGACATTTGATAGGGTGTTCATATTTGACAAATATGCCATAAATAATGACATCTCATCCACAAAGACACCGAAAGCGGGGGGTCACAATTCTTCGAATTTGCTTGTTTTACTCTTAAAATTCCTTTGAATACCTCTATTGACAAAATTTTATAAAGTTTTAATGTCTCCATTCATTTCATTAATAAATTCCTTCCATTACCTTTTACTTAATATTGTATGTATGTCAATTCTTTGTTCCATTGTTAACTTTTATTGTTGCTTTACATGTATTTCTTGTTTGTACTTTTTTGCCTCATGAGAGGCCATAAAGTGAATAAAAATGTTTCCAAAAAGTTTCAGTATAATATCAAAGTTTCAAAGTTTCATATAGAAATTAATAGAAGAAATCAATAGCTATTGAACTGTTCTTTGTATTTTACACAAAGATTTTATGGCCAAATTCTATCAATATTGATTCAAATGGGTGCAAAATGTAGGCGGGAATCGAGAGTTGGCGTTCATAGTTCTTTAACACACTTTGAAATTTTTTTCAAAGTAAGTTGAGTTTGTCCCAATTTTAACGCACTTTTAATTTTTTTCCGAAGTGCGTTGCCACAATGCATGTATTTATATCACACAATAAAAACCAATGTGTAAATTCCATGCTCAATTATGGAATTTTTTCTCTAAGAAATTATAAAATTATTTTATAAGATATCACTATTGTTATGATATACTCACTGAATTTTCGTATTCTTTTTTCAAAAATTTCAAAGAATACGGCATCTGCGTCAATTTGTGTTCCCACTCCTGAGGACGATAGCCTCTGTAGCCGGCATTTCTCAAGAGTGTTCGAATATATGATCCCAATGCAAACATCATTTCCGAAACAGGACTGGGAACAAAGACTAAAGGAGGCATTCCAGATTACAGTGATCGTCTCCGTCAATGTGAACTCGACAGTCGTCTTTCGGAGATTCATACATCGGGTATCTACTCAAAATTTCAAAAACCCTCATGGTAAGTAGTATATTTTATCGACACAGGATAATAATTTTTAAGAAAAGGTACATGTAAGTAGGTTGAGACGATAAATTTTTCATTCGAAAACAATTGCTAATGTAAAAATGTATATATAATTTATAAAAAAAAATAAATAAATAAATAAAAAAAAAAAAAGATATCATTTTAATGGGGTAAAAAAAACTATTTGTAATGAATAAAAACCTAATTTTAAATAAAGTTTCGAGTTAGGCCGTTTTCATCAGTCGTTCAAAAGAGGGCAAACAAGTTTTTTTAATGGCCCTATACTAAAAATATCTTAGAATTACCGTATGTTCCATATATTATGCTAGTACTGAAAATATCTTAAATTCATGTTCAATATATTATACTGAAAATATCTTAAAATTACGTTCTATACATATTATGCTGAAGATACCTTAAAATCATATTCCATTTATTATATCGAAAATATCTAAAAATTATTTTCAATATATATTACACTGAAAATATTTAAAAACTATTTTCAATTTATATTATGCTGTAAATATCTTAAAATCATGTTCAATATAAAATATTGAAAATAAGTTAAAATTATATTCCATATATCATTAGGAAAATATCTCAAAATCAAGTTCCATTCCCGGAGTAAATAGGACACTTGTTTATGTTTTTTAAAAATGTTTTCGTTTATTTTTTAAATATTTAATATTAGTTGCAGCTTACCTGTTAGGATATATCTAACTGTAAAATCCAAAATAATTACTGATATAATCCACAACAGTTGCACGCTTTTCATAACTTATTTTCAAACAACGACTAAACCCATTAAAATGAACAGGCGTACAGGTAGTTATATAAAGTCAAACTATGGTCGATTATCATTTCTTTAAACATCCGATGAAAATCGATCTATCGTCAATTCTGCTCATATGTTCGATCGTGAATTCCTTTAAATTTACATCAACGCACTGCAAAGAATAAACTGTGGAATCACAAATTTTCGCGGAGATTTAATTTTTTGTTTTTTAGGTATGAGGGCACCCACAAATTTCACCACGAAATGTAAAACGTTACGTACAGGGTGTTTCACAATATATGTCACACATCTAAATACAGATAGATAAATGACAACAAAAGCTACCTATACATTTCATATGTCATTTAAATCAGCATATATTCAAAATTATATTTTTGAGTCAGAAGTACCCAACATTCTCCATTTCAGTTACTATGGCAACAAATCCTAAAATGTCATTCTCCACGTGTTTTCTCAACATTACATCCTAAAAAACTTAAGAGACTAATGCTTAGAAATTTCTGACCATTGTTTTTTTAAGTTTCACAGGTTACTTGAAACTTTTTTGTTTTATATCTGCCTTTTTAGAACCCCCAAAATGCACATCTTTTTTTTATTTAAAGTTGCATTTAAATATAAAATGTGTCGTTTCAAAACTACCCCGGTATGTGCTAACTGGTGTCCACTTCTTTCACTCTTCCTTTCAGTAAATCTTGCAAACTTTATGCGGATCTGAACGTCAATTGACTTTAACTGCTGAAATCCTGTATGCAGATGTGCACTTAACTCAAATTTAAGATTTCTAAATACACTTGATATACTGAACGGCATTGTTACAATCCATTTCTTAAACTCAGGTCTAACTTTCATGAGGTTTTCTCCATAATTGATTTCTCTTAAATATTGTTCTCATCGCTTCTTGATTTTTTTTTTGGGGGGGGGGGGATTTAGCTGTCTTTCATCTTTACATTGTAATTTAGTTCAAACTTTCTAATTATTCTTATTATATGAATACAGATATATGTTCTAGACAGCAATATCTGGTCCGGATGTTTCTCACCATCACAATGTACAATATACTGGATATCGTTCTTATAATAAAAGTTCACAATAAGTTTTTGCTGCAAGATGTGCTCCATTTTGAGAATAGCTGAAATTATAAGGTCACTGATTATATCATCAGTTACTTCAAGATATATCATAATTTCCCCAATACTTTGCAATATCATAATTTTAGATCAATACGCTTACATATAGTGTTTTATTATTTTTGGTGTCACGCTCGATATTCAGATTAATCCCATTAAGATGTGTGACATATAATGTGAAACACCCTGTACATACCTTCTCAAAAATTCTTCATCCACGAATTCAAATCCAAATGAACCAAGGGTTTTTTACTCAAACCACGAAAATTTGACCCCACGAAAGTATGTGAATTTTGAACAAATAACACATACTTTATAAAGGTTGACCAGATATATCCTCTTTTTAAATTTAATTTTTAAAATTTTTTGTAAGGAATGATTGAAAAAATTGATATTCCAAAAATGGGGGTATACATGTTCATAAGGCTGTTTTGCTAAATTTATCTAAGTTTTAACATAAACTTGATGTGATTTGGTACATAGCTAAATATGATATGATATCACATTGCTTATAATATTCAATTTTGGCTGTTGAATTTTTAGAGGTATGTACTCTGAGACATGTTGTATGAAAATTAACCTGCAAAGATAATATTGTGTCTTTGATGGGTGTTTTGTTAGATTATGACTTATTCAAGATATTCAAATTAAAAAATTAACAGTTTGACGGAAAAATCTGAAAGTAGAGACCTAGGTTAAATGTTTTTTTTTATGTTAAACATAATAAAACAATTACAAAGAAATCAGCAAAAGAAATAGAAAGTAATGTTTCCATCATATGTTAGATTTCATCGAATTGACTACTCAGAGGTCTCAATTAGAAAACTCTTATTAAGAAAACCGTTAGTAGTATTCATATTTTGTATTTTGAAAGTTATCTGTCTTATCAGAGGGTCGGTACCCCTTAACACCGTTGCGAGGAGATTTAAAAACACATCTTTTATTTGGTTCTTACTTTCCTGTTCACTTGAACAATTTTCACCAAATAATACGCGGAGTACGTAAATTTACTTTTTTTATCGTTACTTTGCTGTACAACTTCTGGGCTTATTTTCAAGAAATGGGGGGGGGGAGTTTTTGTAAAAGCTCGGCTATTGTTCGGTAAATATCAAGTCATTGTCGAATTCTCATTGCAACTCAAATGCGAACTTGAAGGGCGTGACACTGCAGCGCATGACTAGTCTCAAGACACAGGCACTTGTTTCGGTGATGAATTTTTAACCTATAGTATAATAATAACACTTTTAAAATAAATTTTTAACCCATAGTATAAAACATGTAATAACACTTTTAAAAATTAGTCATCTAAAAAGTTTCATGGGCATTTGATTTCGTTTTACAATTATTTCAAGGTAACCCTATGCAATATAGTTTTATATAAATTTTTGGGGAATATAATTTTAATTTGTGACTATTTACAACCAGATTAATTAAATGATTATCCCTAACAGATATTTGTGCTTTAAGTGTAACAAATTATATTTGATTACTATATGGTAGTATTATTGCTGTACTTCACACCTTGAAAGGGATTGTCACCCCCACCCCCAAAAAAATCCTTGAATACCTTTTCTGCAGCCAACCTTCTGATGCGTTATTATAAACAACAGCTAGAAGCATCCAACCTTCTGACGCATTATTATAAACAACAACCAGAAGCATTCAACCTTCTGAGGCATTATTATAAACAGCAACCAGAAGCATCCATTCTTCTGATGCACCATTATAAACAGCAACCAGAAGCATCCAACCTTCTGATGCACCATTATAAACAGCAACCAGAAGCATCCAACCTTCTGATGCACCATTATAAACAGCAACCAGAAGCATTGAACTCTCTAACGCACTATTATTAACAGCAACCAGAAACATCCAACCTTCTGATGCACCATTATAAACAGCATTGAACTCTCTAACGCACTATTATTAACAGCAGCCAAGGGCATCCAACCTTCTGAGGCATTATTATAAACAGCAGCCAGAAGCATTGAACTCTCTAACGCATTATTATAAACAGCAACCAGAAGCATCCAACCTTCTGACGCACTATTATAAACAGCAGCCATGGGTATCCAATCCTCTGATGCATTATTGTAAAAACAGTATCCGTCTGTCACAAAAACTTTAACCTTGATCATAACTTTTGAATGAGAAGAGATACTTTCATATTCCATATGTACATTATCTGTGATAAGACCTTTCCAAATACATGTATACTATGACTCTTGACTTCATGACTCTGACCTTGAAGTTTTATCTACTTTAAAAAAAATTAATTTTAAATTTTTAATTTAAATTGGCCATAACTTTTGAAATAGATAAGATGAGGCTTTCATATTACACAGGTATATTACTTTTGACAAGGCCTTTCTAAATATACAAGGATTATTTTAACCTGTGACCTTGACCTTGAAATCTAACCTACTTTTCAAAAATTTCCTCTTTCTTTGTAACTTTTGATTGAGGAGAGATAGAGCTTTCATATTCATATCATACATAAGTGTGACAACAGAAAGGAAGAATTCTGAACATCATAGAAAACTTTAGAAATTTATTTTTGCATTATTTACAACCAAAATACCAACCAGGCATCCAGTTTTTTGTTTGTATCTTCTGACATTAAGCATTTCAATACAGTTCGTGTCAAATTGTGAATTCCTGCAATATATTATTAAACGGCAGTTTTTTGTAAAAGCTCGGCTATTGTTCGGTAAATATAAAGTCATTGTCAAATTCTCTTGGCAACTCAAAAGCGAACTCGAAGGGCGTGACACTGCAGCGCATGACTAGTCTCAAGACACAGCAGGCACTTGTTTCGGTAAAAAAATTTTAAACCATAGTATAATAAATAACACTTTTAAAAATTTATTACCGAAACAAGAGCCTGTGTTACAAGAATGATCGCGTTACAGTAACTGAATACTGAAATGACTATAATTCACTGTGTACATGTATACTCAAATATATTTGTCATCATTAATTATGAATTTTACAAAGCATGAATCTCCAAAATAAATTCACAGGTAACTATGGCAGCGTCCCATTAACAGATTAAGATGCTAAGAACATCTGTACTGACAGTGTATAAAATGAAATAGAATTATGTATACAGGAAAATATAATAATACTAAGTAATGTGGGAGTACCCTAGCTACGGCTTTCCATATTTGTCCAACATCAAAAGATTATACAATACAATGTAATTTGTTATTTTGGGCATATCCATTTTTGGTTTAAAAAAGAAAAAATACAATTTGTTAAATATGTCAACGTTTCATTTGAGATTTTATCAATTATATGATACTGAAAATATATTTGTCGTATTGAAAACAGGCGTATTTAGAAAGTAATTTGTAAAACAAAAATGGCCATTCTTCATATAGTTTTAATTCGAAATATGCTCAAGATTAGAATTTTGTTTAATCTACAGCCCTTATTTCCGTTAGCTTTTGACAGGTAAGTGCACATGTATACCAATCTCATTACAATCAGATCGTTTGATCAGATTGACATCATGTATACTAAAGTACTCTATCAAGTCACACGTACCTTCTAAAATGAACAGCAAATAAATGACAAACAAGTTGATGAAACAAGAATTTCAGCAGTCTCGTTTAAAGTCATCATTTTGTAAATTCTATGGTCGATAAAATGACCTTGTCAGCAAATACAATTTATCATTGAGTCAAACGCTGACTGGCGTTTTTCATACTAAATGTTAGTTCATGATTTATACCCCGGTACACTAAATTGACGACAGATTTTTCTGTTATTTCCCGATAATGACAAAGAACTCACGGCAGGTGTTACCGGTCGGCAGGGGATGCTCACTCCTCCATGGCACCTGATCCCACCTCTGATGTTTAGAAGTTCTGTGTTTACTCTGCTCCTATTTTTATTTTGTTTTATGGACTTTGATATTGAATGCTGTTTTGTTATCTCCATATCCTTCATTAAAAAGTTGTCTGTTAACTTGTTCGTATTATGTGGATAAAGAGCAAATCATTATATAAATGTAAGAAATGTTTAAGGGGATAAACATGACATTCAGGTTTCTCATATTGTTTTTTTTTTTAATTCCAAACTGCTGTCTAGGGCTTTTATTCCATGGTCAATCAAGTACTTCTAACTCATCGGCAGACGGACAAAATGGAAATAAACTCGATGATTCTTTAATTCACCAATTACTGGCAAAGGACATTGCTGCTCTTGAAAATAAATTATCGGGACTAGCTCAGAAGGTTGCCACTTTAGAGCGGACTATTTACGACGATGAGATACAAAATTTTACACAGGAAATAAATAATATCAGAAAACAGACAAAACTTTGTGAGCAAAAACTTCAGGCATACGAAGAACGAGAGGCAAACGACACAGTGAAGTGGCAGAATATCATGAACGTTGTGGACAAATTTAAAGACCAAGTTCGTTACGCAGCAGTGTCTCTTTTGGATGTGAGTGAGAAAACCAAAGAAATTAATTCTTCATTGACCAGTGTAATCGGTAATCTTACAAACTTACAAGGGGATGTATCTACTGTCCAGTACAATGTATCCAATCTTTTCAGCATCCTAAACAGTCTTCAGGTGCAACTTTCAGGTAAATTAGATATCCTGGTATGTTTTTTCGCATAAGATAATTCACTTTCAATAAAATTTCAAAAATCTTTCTATACTACTTTGGCCTCAGGAAAAAGATGATTTCGGAGGACCAGTATTTTTACAATTGACCATTATAAGATTAATATATATAATGCATTCTTTTCACGATTAACGTTAGTGCTGTATATTACCCTCTTGTTTACACGTATTATAGGAGCATAATGATGTTCTTAACAGTGAACTCTTATTATTCAACATCCTAATTACTAGCAATTAAAACGAGGTATGATAATTTGTAATTTTTTATTTATATCAGATTCTTCTAAAAAAAGTGGCCTTCAGCGCAGGAGTGAGATCTACTAATACTTCCTGGAGTAGCGGTATTTTGGTGTTTGATGAAATCATTTACAGCGTTGGAGGGGGTTATAGCCCGACTACAGGGGTCTTCACCGCCCCTACCCACGGGACCTACGCCTTCTATGTTAAGATTCAAGGTTATGTTGTCTACGATATTCAAGTGGATGTCGTATTAAACGGGATAAGTAAGGCCAGATTGATGATCTATAACCTTGGTTCTATCAAAAACGACTACGAATCAACATCAAGCCTGGTTTTGCTTGGGCTCCAACACGGGGACAAGGTTTGGGTGAAACATTACTATGGTCAGAGTTATCACACACAGTACATTACTCTCACTATATTCTCTGGCTTGCTCATTTAATTAACAAATTTTGTCAGTATTTTAAAATTAGGGCTTAAAAGTTCTACAGCTTACAACGAGGACTGCAGCAGTAGTATGCATTTATGCTGCAAAAGGTTTACATAACAAATGGAAAGTGAATGATTCTACCCCAGTGTGGTGTATATTTGTGTAATCATCATATTATTGGAAAGAAAAAAAACTTTGAAATATTTTTTTTTGTGGATGCTTCCAATAATTCAAATATATTTCTATGTACATGTATTCACTTTGTAACTTTATTTTGATTGCCTATAATAATTTATCAAATTAAATATGCTATATTACCTCTTAATTAAGCATTGATATTTAATTTTTGTAAATTATAAGAAAAATCAAAATTTAATTAAAGATTTATTTTCATGATATATCTATACATACAAAGATCACAGTATTTGTAAACATGTATTATAAAATTCTTGCCAAAGACTTCAAAAACTTAAAATATACAAATGTATATTCATTAAATATGGGATGCTTTACTTCTCAGAAGAAGGAAAAAACACTTTCAGAAATGTTCTCTGCTTTAAGAATATTGCAAAAATTTTTATTTTTCACTTTCTAGATGGTTAAAGTAAAAGTCCAGCTTCTTTAGTTTATATTTCATTAATTATATTTTTAATGGAGAAGTGCCTTTTTGATAAGGTCCTTTCTGTCTGGTGTCAGGGAGGTGGGGAATTCAATGTCAAATTCTATCACTAGATCCCCCTTCTTCTGGGGGTCTGCTGAAATTGGCATCCCCTCACCTGGGACAATCTTTGTGTAACCTGGCCTGAAAGGACAAATTGATAACGGTAATGAATAATTTTAAATGCTTGCGTTTTTACAGAAATATATTCTTTAAAAGCAAATTTTGAAATTTATGGATAAAGTGAAATATTATGGAAGAGACTGAAATCTATTTCCTTATATTGAACAGGAAATTAAGATACATAATGCTACTAAGAAAAATAGTTCACAATTGCATTAAAACATTGTCTGAAAAAAAGGTACAAAATTTCAGTTCTTACTTGATAATGTCATTAATGGGGATGTGTAACACCCGTTCATCCAGGGTAATGATCTCCACTGTACATCCTGTCAGGGCTTTCCCCAGAGGAACCTTGGCTGTGTGGATAAGATTAATCCCCTGTCTACGGAATCGAGGGTGGGGTTTGTCTTTCACAATGAATACTATATCAGCTGTAATTAAAAATCAAAGTTTGTATAAACACTAAAAAAATTATGCACAGTAAAAATTGTAACAAAGATCTGAAGACGTTTTTGCAAAATAAAAATTCATAATGAATATTCCAAAGAAATTGAAATATTAAAAATGATGATTGAAAAAAATATTTTTTAACTAAATTATTTTTAAATTTTTTCCAAATTAGACAACAATCCAAATTAGACAACATTATAACAATTGAATTTCCTGAAAAGGACTGAAAATTTACATTATATGTGGAAAGATTATGAAATAGATACATATCAGATTATGTCTTCAGTTTCATTGAATTTTTAAAAAGTTAATTGGACCATTCAACCAAGAACATTAAAAATACTGAGAAATGCTGTGATTATAAGAGCAATGCTGTAAAAGACTTTAAACTCAATGCTTTGAATTTTTGCAGACTTGAGACACATGCTTGTATGGTTAGCCTACCTGGGACATTGTTGGGGCCTTGGTCTCCCTCCTCAGGGAATGTGATTTTGGTTCCAGGCTTCCAGCCTTTTTTGACTGTGATGGTTAGAATTTTCTCTCTTATACTTGATGTGTGACCATCCTCATTCATAACCTGCAATGTTAATCCAAGCATGAAAAAGTGGAATTTATCAAAGAAAACTATATTTGTGTGCAAGGAAGTTTTCTTATATAGCTATTTCTTCATCTAATTTAGAGATTCTTTCTGTATTATAAAATATCCTTTAAAGTAATAAACAATCAAAGACTTCAGACACAGAAAATGTGTCAATTCTTTTAAAAAGACAATTTTATGCCTGACCTGATTTTCACTAAAGAGAATTTTCTTCTACAATGCAGATGTGCTAATTCACACTATCATATTTTGAATTAATGAACCTCATATGATTTATAAACACTTCTTTATTTTAAAAAGTGTCTTCTCGAATGGTTTATTAAAATTTTGTCACTTTTGCATTGACACATAATAATTAAAATGTGTTTTATTTTAATTTTCTAAAAGGAGTTAGAAAATGCAAATTGTGGAATGAAAAACATACATGTGCTACATAAAAGTAATGATTTCATACCCTCCTTGTGATTTTCATTTTCTTTGTGCATCCATGGAAAACTTCTTCTAGAGATAATACAAGGTCTCTTTCTATGGGTGGATCCTGCTTCTTTCTCCCTCTACCTTGGAGTCCACCAAAACCCATACTAAGATCACCATCTACTCTGTCATAAAATTCTGAAAAAATCAACAACAAAAAATGAGATTAGACATTAATAGGCAAATATAGTGAGGAATGCATTGTATATATATTACAAATAAAATACTAGTGCATGTTCAACTTTTTTGGGCCTAAAAGCAGTCAACGTAAATCAGTTTCGTCTAGAAAATGTCAATATGTCTACTTGGTAGACTACCCTACAAAATCTCTAGTACATATGCTATGTAATACACATATGGGCACCCCTTTATTTTTGGCACCCCCTTAACTTCAATTTTTTATTGTATAACTTGTTTGTATAACCCTAAACAATTAAGTAAAGTTTTATATAAATTGTCATCAAAAAAAGGTTTCATGTGCATTAGATTTTATTTTTTTTCAATTTTTGACTATAAATATATACATATAAATGATATAATTTCAGATTAAAGAATATTAAATGAATTAAATCCCAACAAATATTTCTTCTTTAACATAAGTGTATCAAATTATATTTGATTACTATATGTTTATTGCTGTACTTCATACCTTGGAAGGGATTGTCACCCCCAAAGAAATCCCTGAACACCTTTTCTGCATTTCCATGGAATGTGTACCCTTGCGTCCAGGCCCCTGATTCCCCACTTCCCTGCGGAACACCATTTTTCAGACCTTCTTCACCAAACTGATCGTATGTGGCTCTTTTTCGAGCTGTAAAAAAAATATCATTGTTACTATTCCTTTATACATGTAATCTACAAAGTATGTATTCTGATGAAATAAAACACATAACCATTTTTTTTTCGTTTACCTAGCTTAAATGTATAGCTTAAGAAAATTATTGAATCATTCAAATGTATGGAAAATATGCTTAAAATAACAAGAACTTACGATCACTTAAAACATCATATGCCTCTGCACACTGTTTGAATTTATCTAGAGCATCCTGATCTCCTGCGTTTCTGTCGGGGTGATATTTCAGAGACAATTTTCTATAGCTGTGAAACAAAAAGATTTAAATCATTAATTTGCAAATCTGAAAACATCTAAATTACGACCATAAACACTGATAATATGACACCTTTTATCGATGTTTTTTGAGGGTAAGACATGTTCTGTCACCGGGTCATTCTCATCAGAAAGTATTTCTCAAAGTAAACATTTTTAAACGATTAAAAATAATAACACGTGGAAAAATAAGAATATCTAACTGAGTAAATAACATGTTCTTACTTTTTCTTGATGTCAGCATCTGTTGCACTTCTTGTAAGTTTTAAGATATCGTAGTAATCAACCCCCATGTTTACAATCTTTTCCTTCTTCTAACTTGTTTACAAAAAATGGCGGATCACATGGCAACATGATAGCACAACAAAAATAGCGTTGTTTTCGTAAAAAAAATATTTGACAATTTGAAAGTGTCAACTATTTTATAACTAAACATGTAATATAATTTATATTTATTGAAATCTATTTTTAATTTATTTGTAGCATATATTATATTTTTAATTCAAAAGTCAGATTCGAAAATATGACTAACTTTAAAGGGTTTGGAAATCTCCGAGCAACAGCTTCAAACAGTATGGCCGAAAAGAAATGATAAACTTTTCACGGGGATTTTTAAATTGATAAAGGTCATATGCTGTGAAAACATTCTTGTTCATCATGGAGGGGGATGTTTCAGGAGTGAGAATATCCCCACCTGTTGTTGAATTTTATGACACAGAACCAAATAACGTGCATCAATTAAATGTGACTGTAAAAAACATCAGTAAAACAAGCAAGAGCATTCGATTCTATGGACCAAAAACCAAGGTAAATGCTATCACGTAATAAATTACACAAAGAGCCCCTCACACTTGTAACAATCAAATTAATAACATTGGGGATTAGTAAAGACATGTATTTATAATTTTATAGTATTTCCAACTGAGGGTAAAAAATCCCAACAAACCAATTGCACCGGGGTTATGTGTACCAGCCGTGGTAGAGTTTGAAACAACTGAAGCAAAGGAAGTAAAAGACAGACTTGTAGTCACCATTGATGGAGATGTCCTAGAAATTCCTCTGATTGCGTATGTTTTGATTATATCTGTATATACATATATATACATTAATTAAAACTGTCCTAATTTTATTGTGGTTGCATAATTTAAAATTAGTCAGAATAATCTAACTGTGTCTTGGTATAAGCCCTCACCACAGTTAGAATACCTCCCATATACTCACAATGTTGCAAAAAAATGCTGAATCGCATCAAAATGATTTTGAAGAACACAAACGGACTTGCACAGAAAACAAAAACTTCCAAATTATAATAACAAACCTTTTTGAGGTTGTGAATGGCTTTAAACCTAAAGTGTAATCCAAATAAAATGAAAAATCAGCTCATTTTCTCAACATTTTTTTCTCGCTTCAAATTTACCTGCCATGTTTAATTCAGAATTACTCTAGCTTGATTATTTGTATTAAATGCACTTAGTTCGAGCTGTCGCCCGTGTTTATTCTGCAACATTGTGAATACCGATACACAAATTATAATTTATTGTTAAACCAGGTCCGAAGGAGGACGTTTATCATTTCAACGATAGAACATTCTATCTACCCTAAAAAATATATGGGCTTATCTAAATATGAGCTGAAGGTTCAGTAATAAAGCTGAAATTGCTGACTATTGTTTAAATAATTCATTGATCTCTTCTAAATCAAATCATAATGCTGTTCCCTTGTCTTTTCAATTATTTGATTGTTTATTTGATTGTTTAAGTTTTAAAATGACTATTTCAGCTATCCATGTCAACCTGTTTTGGAGATTGAGGAAGAAGTTTATTTTGGAAATTTAGTGGCCAACAGTAAAACCATATCAAAGGAAATATCATTATTTAACCATGGATCTAAAGCAGGAGAATTCAAGCTGAAGTATTCTGGGGACAAGCCCATTGCTATAATGCCCACAAGTGGATCAGTACCACCTAAAAGTGTGCAGCTGATCAAGGTATATCAGGGAACCATGAAAGCAAAAACTTGTCTCTGTATACTAAGAATTTTTATATTTGTGGGTAATAATCAAATTAAATGAGACTAGTACAAAATATTAAATTGTAATCTGTATTTTGTCTCATCGTCCCTTAAGAAATAATCACATGCCTATACATACTTGAGAATGATTTTATCAATACACTTTTCTCTGCAGATTGAATATGTTACAAAAGAAGCTGGGAAAATAGATGAAACAATTAAGTAAGTTCTTTCAATACTTTTTACCCATAGATCTTCCGAATTTTGTATGCAAAGGTTAAAGTAGCTGTGTTAATTGCGGAAATGAGATTATTTTGTAGAATTACCCTAACATTGCAAAGGATTTTTTACCATTTCTTCTGCATTCTACCACTTCTTTGCATTTGTCATTAGTTGAGAAAGATATTTAGTGTCATTGATATAATAGAGTCATAGTATAAAACTGATTGTTTGTAGAGTTAAATTAGAAGGTCAGGAGACAAAATCGCTGATGGTGCGAGGTGTTCTAGTGGACAGAGCGATTGAGGTTTTGTCCTTGGAGACAGAGGAGCCCTTAGGCTGTGTCAAGTTTGGTGAAGCCTACTATGGCTCCGATAAAACAGAGTGTGCCATCCTCTATAACAATGGCCCGGAGGCTGTGAACTTCGTGGCAGTTCTAGATGAAGATGCTATTGCGCAAGAAATGGTAATTTATAATTAACATTGATATCCATGATCTGCTCCTTCTTTAATCACATAACAAGTCTGACGTCTTCAGTAAAATTAGGATTTTTATTATCAGATAGATAATAAAAAAAAGTATAATACATGTAGGTAAAAAAGTTTAATGTGCAAAACAATTATGTCTTATCCATACAATACTTTTCACAGTGAAAACAACTCTTTTAGCTCAGTTACAAACCCCCTTATAGTATATTAATATTAGATCTATCTGTAATCCACAGGGTGTTGATTTGACCCGCAGTACAAATGATGCTCTGGCAGATCAGCTGACTGAGGGGGAGAAGACTCAGGGCTGTACCAATGTCATCACCTCCCTCATCACTGCCATCCCTAACCAAGGCGTGCTCAAACCTTTTGAGAAAATCCCAGTGTTCTTCAGATTCAGCCCTAGGTAAAATACTGTGAACAAAATAAATCTAATGTCAAAGCAAGGTTTAAGCTTGTTTGAGGAGCTGTTTTCTGAATCTGATTTTTGTTCAAATTAAATTTAAACAAATGGATATGATTTTCTACTCAAGTCTCATAACAAATAACCAGAATTTACCCAACTAAAAGGTCACATAGAGATAAGCCTCATACAATATGATAAGAAGTTCTCATATATTCGATCAAAAGAAGGCTTTTCCCATTTTTGCTCATGCTTTGAACATCAATTTGTAGATGGAATGCTTCAAAAGAGGGGTGGAAAAGCCAGGTGACCCCTCCTCCCAGGAAGGACTTTGCCTTGTTTATGCGAATACAGATCATAGGATCAAGCAACTTGTCAGAGAATACCACAGGGTCAAAGAATACTAAAGATGGTAAGTTGTAACTTTTGACCACCCAATACATGTGAATTATGCTAAAACAATTAACATAATTAAAATATATTTTGGTTGTTTTTCAGCTAAATATGAATATAATTTAAGATTTAATTTCAAATACTAACTAGTACTATTACATAAAGCAATGAAAAACAAGCCACCTTATTTCTGATATGTTTGTAACATTGTTTACATGTGTTACAGGGTCGATGGTGGAGGTAGCCATGACAGGTACAGCCCTCCCTGTCCTACTGACCATCTCCCCCTCCTACAAGTTCAACTTTGGAGAATGCCAGGTGGGGGAACATGCTGATGTGCTGTGTACCATCAAAAACGAGTCCAGCGTCTTACCGGCCATATTTCAGTTTAGGAAGATCGCGCACTTCCTCACGCATCCTGTGAACGGAAAGATTCCTCCCGGAGGGAGCCAGGATGTCATCTTCTCCTTCTCACCAAATCAGATAGGTAGGGCATGCAGCATATAATCCAATGTGGAAATAATTTCATAAACATTTCTTGAAATTCTTGAAATTATATATTATTATCTTGTGCATTGTCACATTATAAAATATTGAGATATTCCATCAAATCACTGAAAAAAATTGAAACTACATCTTAGCTATTTAAGGCTATTCATAAACTCTCTAAAGACACCAAATGTTATACCAAATCTCTAAAAAAGAAGATATTCATTTTAGCTTTCTTGATTAATAAACTTGTTAAAATAGCTATCAGATGGTTGCACAATAATTTTTTTATTTTAGGGTCTTTTAAGCCAAAGCAGATGTTGGATGTGATTGGACATGTAGCGGATAATCAGAATCCGACCCTGGCCCACCTACAAGTCATTCACACCTACCCCGTCATGTTCTCAGGGAGCAGTCAGCCCGTCCCTGTGGAGAGAAAACCCAGGTTTAACCCAGGTAAACACTGAAAATCACAACAACTAGTATCAAGTCTACAGTGAACTATTATAGATGTTGAATCAGTTAAAAGAGTACATACAATATTCCAACTTGGACTAAATTGAAATTTCACAGCACTGCAAAATTAAATCACAATTGCTTTTAATTGATTTAAACCATATTATAGTCGAGGTATTTTAAATATAGTCATCCTAACTGGGCCTGCTATTTTGGCCCACTTTTTCCACAGATATCTTTGCACACTAATTTTGAAATAATTTGGTTGAACTTCCACGTAAACAATTACAGGACTCACTCCTTACATTAGTAATGAAGTAGGAATGTTTGTGGACACTAAGATGTCTGAACTCGATGGCAGCCCCAGGAATGCAGTGGCTGGGGGACACAAAACTCAGCTGCACAAAGTGAGTTACTACGAGGACGACCCTGAGGCCAAGGTCGCGTTCCCGAATGATCGAGCACAGAGCATCCGACCAGAGCACAACAAATACAAGTAAGTCATCATAATCTTACTGGTAATTGAAAATAAATCCCACTTAACAGGACGATGAAATGTGTGCTTAATGCATTTTGTAATATTTTAGGCTTGGTTAAAAAAGTCTGATATTGTAGATAAATTACTTTCAACCTAGTTGTTAAATTTTTTTAGAATATTGAAGATTACATAAAATACTCCTCTATTTGCTTGAACCCCTATATGCTTCAGAAGCTACTCTAAGATATCAATTTACAACAATTACATCTTTAATTGATTTGGAAATAAATAAATCAGCCATATTTTTTAGCTCTACTGGTCAGAGACCAGAAGAGCTTATGCGATAGTAATGCGTCCGGCGTCCGTCCGTCTGTCTGTCTGTCTGTCTGTAAACAATTTTTCAAAATGCTACTCCT